TGAGGGATCAACGAAGAAAAACGTTTGAGAATATTTGTGTTGGAGGAAGTAACAATGGAATTTAACACGTTCCCTGCGCCATCACTTTCAAAAAACTTTCAGCTGGTGCTTTGGAGACCTAAAAGATCTCCAAACTAACCTATCATTTGGTGCGTTTGAGACCTAATCGGTCTCCTAAAGATACAGTTTTCAAAATAGTTTATATCTTCTAAAAAAACAATCAAATATATTTTGAAGTTTTTGTGGGTGAAAGATAGCCTATTGCTTTATATTTTGCTAGGTTCGCACGCAGTTATGACATTTGAATAAACTACAAAAACCAAAAAAAAAAATGATATCGATTGTATCTCGTACCGCAACGGAAGATAGTTCAATATGTGTAGTAAGTAGTGATGGGAATAAAATAATATCTCAGTTATCGATTGAAAAAGTTTTTTATGCAAAGTGTTTTTCATTAAAACATGGTAAGCACATTGATTGCTTGCATTGCGCGCAAATAGTAACAATTCGTTTAGTTTTTTTAGAAGCGTCAGTGCTGTTTAATGTGCGTCGTAATTTTTCGTAACAACCCACACAACGTCTTTTTTTGTCGCCACGTTGGAAAACATGATGAGTACATCTTCCTTCAGGTAATTCTGTAATAAAGTGCATTGTATAAATAAACAGCATGCAACTATGTCAGTGAAGTAAATGCGATGGAATCTAATTTTGTTAGTTTCGTTATTCGAGTGTCTTATGTATATTTTTGTTCTTAGGCTGTTGTGGCTTTAAAAAAATATACGGAGGTATTAAATAAAAGTTGGATGTCACAGGTCTCTTGTAAGTTTACTATAACAACGTTTTTGTTTAAATAACCGAAATTTAGGCTACCAGAAACTTACCAGAGAGTAATGTGAACCCCCCCCCTCCCCCTGTGTAGTATAATGCTTACATAATTAAAACACTCTTGCACTAGAGATAAGTAGCAAAGCCCACCAGAAATGCTACTAAGCTAAGACAATCTCAAAAACAACCAAAAATTTTCAGGCAATCAACAGAAGAAGTAGGTACATAACGCGTTTCAAACACAAAAAAATAAAAACCACGTAATATCAAAAAAAAGGCAGGCAGATGTTAGTTGGAAATAAAGTCTCCCCTCTTTAATTTATGTTTATTGAATGGTATCCAAGAAGATTTTTGTTCAGTACACTTGAATGATTAAAGTTCATAATATGCTCAGTTTCATGCAAAGCGTGCTGCAGTTAGTTGACGATGCTAAGCTTACGCGTTGTCTGGAACCATTACCTAAGTTTCTGGAGAGATTTTAGCGCGCGCGAAATCCCACGTCGATGCTAGGACAACACTAAAACGAGTCACGCAGCGCCCGCGCCGCCCACCTTCCCTCTCTTGCGTCTACGAGGCGTACGATTCCACGAGTACCGACATATCTCCTAACGCAAGGAATGAAAATAATTACAGTACTGTGCGTTAGGGACCTAATCCATCTCTAATTTCTTTTTTAATGTCCTTGAATTCATCTTTAAGTAGGAAGCAAATATGTATATTTGTCGTACTCATACCTAAAGAACTTTACACGTTAGATCCTCCCGCAAGGAGTGAAACAACACTATTATATTCAACGCACAATACAAAAGTCCTGCAAGAGATCTGATAGATCTCGTAATGCAACGAACGTGTTAAGTATATTTGTAAAATAGGAAGAAAAATCCAATAAACAAACGCGTTTCTCCACTATAAATGGAATATAAAGAAACTTTTGACGACAACTTCATCTTACGTAAGTCTTGGTGCTTCCTGATTCTAGGCATTGCTTTTTACATGACTAGAATAAATGTAAGATGGCGACATAAAGCGATTAACCGAAGTTTATATGACTACTAGCTGTTGCCCGTAACTCCGTCCGCGCGGAGTGGAAAGAAAATTAGTAGCGTATTTGTTCTTCTAAACTATGCTCTACATCTATGCCAAATTTTAGCGAAATACGTTCAGCCGTTCTGGACCTACAAACAAACATCCATCCATCCAAACTTTCGCATTTATAATATTAGTAAGATTAAGTGCTTATCATACCAAAATTTTGAAGATTAAATAAATTAGTAAATTATAACAATAGTTTCACTGGTTATAAACATTTAATAAAATAACGGATAAAATTGTCTCCGGTAACCTAGTACTTGAAACAGATCTACTGTTATTTATTATTACCCAAACAAATTTAGGAATAATTACGTTTTATTTATATGTAGATAATAAATGTTGAAGCTTATAGCATTTAACAATGTTGCAGACTATACGTCAAATGTTAATAACTTCAACAAAGGGAGAAAGTTGTGGGAAATGTGTAAAATGCATAGCGTCTTGTTAAGTTGCATCACCAGGATGACTTTCACTCTCCTTGTTGCTTATGTTGAGTTTACATTGACATACTATACAAACCACTTATGTATCTATCTTACTTATTACTAATGTTATTATTGCAAAGGTTTAGGTGGATACATAAATAAATTATTGTCAATGTAACGTAGACCATTTGCTAAGTTCGTATAATTCCACACGAACGAACTCGTGATCGAGGCTAGTAATATTACGAAAAACAGTTAAGTTTGTCCGTTATATTTTCAAAGCGACTTTGATTTGCGATAACGTCACGTATCTAAATTAACGTGTATATAGATTGAATGAAGTAATTAATTTTAATTAGTATTATCGTACGTAACACGCAAACCTTTTGTTGTCTCTATTTTTACAAAGGAAATGAAAAGGACGACACTATGTTTTAATTTATTGGCATAGACTCAAAGAACAAAAGAAACGGATGAAGCATGAGAAACATTCAATTGTTTGAAGTCAACTATGATACAGTGGGAATTATCAAAAGGAAGTTAGGATGTTGGTGAATAGACATCGATTCATAGAGCAAGGGAAATTTTATTTTCATATTACATTCAATGTTTTTAAAGTTATGAGAAATTACAGTCAATTGAATTTTGCGTCTGTACCATAATTATCAATCCTATCGAGGGTTATCAAAGCCTGTACAAAAACATATCGCCATCCTTTTCATTTTCTTTGGCAAAACAGAGATAACAATATGTAAATCTTGCACAGATTATTAGTTAGAATTTATATTCTCTTTACGTTTGTAATCAGGTTTACTTTTAAATACATTGTAACTTAAAACTAATAAATATTTCGTAGGCATTGTGTAGAAGTGTAAATCTTCCTTACAAAAGATTTCAACGCAACCCTCTGTGATTTATTATTACTACGACAATGTGTTATACCACAAAAAACCTTTATATATTTCTAAGAATCTTAAATAACACAAAAATATGCTAATAATGTAAATCTTTTAGTGAAACTGATTTAAAACGCAAACGGAATAGTAAATACAAATGCGAAATGTTATGGTAAGAGTTTCTTACGTAATAATTCGTATCACAAAATGTATATTTGAATATGTTACTTTTTAAAAATACGTGAAAGGAGATTTAATTACTTATCACTATCACTATTTTCTACGTAAGAGAATGTTATACGTAAAGAAATCGAAACTATTTCGTGTACACAATGTCCAAATACACAGCTCAAGTTTTACGTTTTAGAAAGACCTAAATATTTGCAATAAAGGAATGTATGCAATAACGTCGTAATAAAGTAATAAAATATGACAACTTTTTACCTGAGTTATGAATTATGTATATTTAAAAAAAAAACATAAATTAAAACTTTCTTATTAGAATGTTATTTAATAAGTAATAAATTAAATTAATATTTAGGTAAATTTAAATAAGTTTCTAATTCATATCATTAATCAAACATATATTAAATACCTACACTGTTTAATGGGGAAGCTTTTTACAATCGATTTCTCTTAAAGTCACCAATTTTTAGTATTATTACAAAGTTCAAATACTGTATTTTTATCTATCGTAGGGGGTTTTGACGACGTCAGTTAAAGTATACAGTAGTCATTCTGTCACTTACCATCTCTGAGCACGACAATGGGCAAGGTATCGTCTCCGCCGGCATATCCATGTATTAACAGGATGGTTTCGTGCGA